GACGTACCGAGTTGTTTATTTGTCTCCGTCCCATTGTTTTTTTATGGAATATACAAGTCTCTCTTCTAATTGCAGTCAATATTTAAATACTGCATACAATTTATCCTCTCTTTATAATTTATCTAGTGAGTGTTGGTTTTTTATGACATTATTTCTGTAACGAAATTGAAATGGTTATGAAATGAAATTTAAATTATTTGAACTTTTGGGGTTTTGTAACTTCAATATTAAATCTTATTTAAAGTGAAACAGCTAATTTCTTTGCAGCCATAATAGTCACATTTGGTCAGATGAAACACACTACTACCCGCACACTACTCGTCGGTGGTATAGCTTTCAGAGGAGATTCGGTGTCAATGTCAATGGCGATCGTTTAATTGGGCCGCATTTTCTACCTGAACATCTGAATGGGCCGCGTTACTAATTTTTAGTAGAATTGTTTGAAAACCTTCCCCTTCGGGCTTACAGCAAATGTTGTTAAAATATTAAAATTATGATGCTAATAAAAACTGATTTTTGGCAAGGCATGCTCAGACCTCGAGGTTCTTGCTGGGCAACAATAACAATTTAATATGTTGATTGCATAAATAAAAAATAATTTATAGCATTTTAAATTATTATTGGCTGACGTGAGCAAAACCGTTTATTTATTGTCTTTATATGAGCGAAAATATATAAATATGGCAACGTTGCATCTAGGGCGCGTTGTTCATAGGTTCATATCGTAGCCGTGCATAATATTGTGACATCAGCCGGTCAGTAACAGCCTGAACAGGGGGTTAAATAATGATTTGAAAATATTTTTTTTCAGCTTAAATATGCATTTAAATTTTTTTTTAATCACGCCATCGTATTATACTCATTTTTCTCTATCTGCTCTTAAAATTAATGACATTATGACTGAATCACCCTGTATTTGCACATCATTATGAAACACTATGTATATTGAAGTTTCTTTTTTCTAATAGCCAAAACTAGTACGAAAGGAAAATAAATGTTCATACTGAATAAAAAAGGACTAATTGAACCCATCACACCAAATGAATTTATATTGATTTAAATTGTTTCTTAGATAATAAGATAATAATAGATTTTTCTCCATATATTTACCGATTTCATTAGAGCGGGTAGTTTAAAAATTAAAAAATATATTTCACAATGTGAAAATAATCAGTTAATATGCAAAAATATACAATACATACAACACAATATATAAATTACATTATATTTATACAATACAATTACAAGTTTATATATACACATTAACAACTCTGAAGAACTTGATAAATAAATAGAAAACAATTTCTGTATTAGATAGGTATCTAAAAACTACAGACTAGCAATGAAAAAACTTAAAAATATACAGTTTTTTACAGTATTTTAAGTGAAAACGAAAATTAACTATAGTGCTAGAATTTTAAATATAATTTGGAACATTTTGCATGAATATTACTTGCATATGTTAGTGTTCTAAATGATTCAAATGGTGTAAGGAACAAGAAAATTGCAAACTCACTGTTTTTGATTTCTCTAAATCTTTTCGATATTGAAAATTTTGTTTAGTAAACTGGTCAAGAGTTCAACTAAATTTAAAATATTTGATTCTTAGCTTACTAGTTGTCCCGCAAATATTCTAAATTATCACCAATAGCAAATTTAAAAATAAGATAAATAGCTTTAAGAAGGTTCATCTTAAAGCATTATTATTAAATCGAAATCTTTTCATGATCGATTTAAAAGTTGCCTTTAGGTTTTTTTTTAACAAATAAAACGAGGATGTAAAAGTAAAAGCATTCCTGTGAAATATTACTATGGAATAACTTTCTTCAGTAATTTTTTGAGATACCTAGTTGAAAATGTTTTTTTTAAAGGCTGGTTTATTTACCACACAATAAATTTACTTTCTTTAGCTGGTAAACCGACCATTGGTGTAATTGTGGCAAATTTTGTTTCATAGAACAGGATTCATTCTAATGCTTCCTATTACCTACGCTTAAGCCATCGGTGTCCAGAGGTCATCACTGTTCACGCTATCAGATCTAAGGATGTGTGCCACAAACAGAGAACATCACTTAAACTGTTATAATAGCAATCTGTAATAAATAATAATAAATACATAATTTGACAGATCTGATGGCACCGATTGAGGTTCTCTCTGGACGTCCATGTATTAAGCTCTCTTAAACTTGTGGGAAAAGTAAGCTTTAAGCATATCTAGCAGATTTGAAAAATTAATGTTTGAATATTTTCGGTTACTTACACTGTTGATCACTTGCACACACCATTTATGGATTTAAGAAAAACTTACAAATATTGCAGGTACAAAACAGTTACATAAAAATTTGTATAGCTGTAAAGTATAAAAGCTCATTTTTATGAGTTTCATTTTATGTACACTAGAAAATATTTATACAGTAATTTTAAGCCTGTCAAAGTTATCAACAATAAATTTTTAACAACACAAATAAAACAATTAGTTTCTTGAATATAGTTCTGTAACTAAAAGCAAAATTTACATGTTTCTTGTGAAATAATTTTTAAACAAGGGCTGAATACTGTGGTGTTCCATAACTTCCAGCATTTTCTTCTTGTTTTTAATACTCTAAATTAACCTTTTACCTCAGTCTTATAAATTTATCTATTTATCAAAATATACAGAAGCATTCTGGACGTAAGTTTTGTTTGTGAAATAATTCAATTAAAAATCAAATTCAAATGAAACCATTCCATCTTTATTACAGTACGGTATGTACATTGGAGGGCAATACAAATTTAGCCACCACCGATCAAACAATTTTTTAAATTTTGGTCAAGTACATTTGCACTTTGGTTTGGTTAATTTTCCAATACGATCATAAATGTTCTATATTTTAATTTTTATTTCAACAGCAATATTTGCTGATACATAAGAAAAAAATTATAATTATTTTAAATATGTTCTAAAACAATTTTCACAAGATTTTTTTTAGGTATATGTTTTATACTTCGTTGTCAGTAATTTAATATATAAAAATATGTGTTTTAACAAAGAAAAACAGCAAAAATATTTTCTGTAACAAATATTAAAACATCTTCATTTTAATATATATATATTTGTATCTTTGTTTTTAGCTGAAGAGTATGTTTTGGATAATATAAAACAAACTAATTTTTCGCATAAAGTTGAGCTTTCCTTTTTCGATTCGCTAGCATATCATAAAATGGATTATGGCTGATACTTTGTGTAAGTCTTTGAATCCATTCTTTCCTTTCTTCATCACTACTAGCTGACATCCTGTAAACGGTATGTTTTCCTTCGACTACTTTACCTTCGGAATCGGTTTTACAGGCTTTGATAAAGTCTGCCCCACCACTGGCATAAAGTTCAAAACAGTACTGTTTCTGCCTATCAGTGCACTCACGGATTGATATGTTTTCTAAAGGAATTATACCTCGAGGTTCTTTATCTGTAGTGTACTCAAAATAATATAGGCAGTTATCGTTAAGGATGAACCAGCGACGTTTCCAACTTTTGTAACGGCCACCTTGTTTCCACAGCCAACCTTCTTTATCGGGGTTGAAGAAAGTATGCATTAAATCATTACCGTCATCTTCAGGGATTTTAAAGGGTTCAGCTTTTATACTATCATATAAACTCTAAAAAAAAAAGATTTTACAATATTTTGTTTAGATATTTATAACTACTAAATTGTTTTAAAATCTGAAAAAATTTTTAGTATAAATTTTTTCATGGGCGTATACAAAATTTATTTTTTTTATGTCAGAATTTTTATTAAAAATGGACAACCATGTTTGCCTCTAAAAAATCAAGGCTAACATGATTAGTTTTCGAAATATTTGAAAAAAATCGAAATTTTGGAAATCCGTTTTTGTTTCATTTCAGCTTTGTTTGAGGTGATACTGCAAAAAGAAGAACACTTTCTCATGGCAACTGTTTGCCCTCTATCCAATGGCATAATCATTTATTATATGTAACGTTTCGTCTCTCCAGGACCATCATCAACTTCATTTTTTTAAATATGACCCTCGAAATTTTATTACATTTTTTGCAAGCCTTCATAACTCCCAATACTGTACTGCCTCAGCCCGAACCAGATTCAAACGTTTTGTCTCGAAAAATTCATCTTCAGTGTATTCGTTCCAAATTTATCAAATTCGGATAATATTACGCTGATCATTTTCAACCTTTGCCAAAATGAAAATGTTTTTAAACATTTACTGAATTTTTTTAAAGAATAATATTCAGGAATAATATTCACTTGGCGTTTTGGTTGTTTAAATGCATTTTTATGGATTAATTTGTCATAATAAAATTAAAATTGTAATAGTTTTAATTGTGACGCAACAACTTATTGAGTTATGTATGACCAAGTGATGGTAATAGTTAATAATATAATAAATGTTTTAGTGTAACGCGTGGTTGTAATAATTTAAATAACTAGATGGATTTCACAGGGTCTAACGACAGTTAAAGTGTGCGATAATTCAATAAACAAAGAAAATAAAAATAAAAAATTTAGATAAATTTGGAACAAATACACTGAAGATGAATTTTTCGAGATAAAACGTCTGAAGCTGATTTTGTAACAGCCTGTATATCCACCAAGAAAACTAATAAATAATAAAAAAAGAATTAAACCTTATTTAGCACTATGTAGATGCAAAAATCAGCAAAAAATTAAATATTAAGCAGTTCTTAAAGATCTGTAATTATTAAATTTTGGATTTTTTATAATTTAATTAGGCATTCACAGTGAGAAGAAAAATAAATTTTAAATGTTCATACCAAAAAGATCAGTCAAGGAGTTGGTTTTATAAATAAATTTGTGCAAAATTCCATGTTATTTCAATTTTCACCTAAGCATCTCTCTAAATGCGCGCCAACTTTTGTTATGGTTAGAAAAAAATCAAGAGAAAAAATGTAAAATGATCTAGAATGTCAAATAACTTTTTACTTGCCAGTTGAAATTCCTTACATCCCTTTCTAATTTTGATTTCATTGTTTACTTTTTGCTCAACTTTTAGAAATAGGTGCCTACTATGAAGAAACGACTGTATTAAGTTTGAAGTCTATATGTTTAATGGTTTTTGAGTAATTGAACAAAAACTGTTTCATGACCAGTCTTTGAAGGATCATAGAGCTCTCAGGAATCTAGAAAAATTTTGGTTTTTGTTTGTTTTAACAAGAGCAATCAGCCCTATAACATTGCTGCTATTACACACTGTATATGAATTAAGCAATGTATTATAATTATTAAATTAAATATATTATGAAGGAATAATTATCGAAGAAAAAAATATTCTGTGACGAAGAGACACAAGATGCGAGGAGAAGACCCAAAAATAATCGGAGACCATTTTTTAAAAATACAGAATTTATCTTTTCGGATTACAAACGTTAATCACCTTCGAAGTATTTTCAATTAACTACATAGTTTGAAATGTTTTATCCACTGCGGGAAACACCTTTTGTACTGATCCTTTCCGAAGCCTCGCAGCGCCGCAGTGGTTAAAATTGAGAATTTTGCGTCAAAATTTGTTCGATAGCATGAAGAGAGGCCACACCACTTGATTTTTTTTTCAATATACCTTGAACATTGTACTTTTGCAGTTCACTGCAGAATATTATCACGGGATAAATATAAATATAATAAGAGACTGTGAAAGTAAACTTTATTACATCAAATTATCTAGATACTGTGTATAGTACTTTATATAAAACTATTGAACCGCAAACTGCATACTCCTAAATCCATGAATCCAACAACTTATAAGCACTGAAACCCATAAACCCCAAAATTTGAAACCCATAAACTCTATCCATGGATTGAGGAGTATGGGGTTTGCGCTTCAATAGTTTTATATAAAGTACTATATACATGTACTATATACAGGGTGCGGCATTAGTACGTCGAAGTATAATATCTCCGTTATTATAGAAGATATCAAAAAAGTTATTTACAAAAATTGTAGCCAACTTAAAACTGCATATTTTAAAAAATTTTTTCGTATATACATAGTGTTACGTTTTACCAGGGTGAACCGAACATACTACTTTTTAAATTGACACTCTATATATTATTTCAAATTTAGATTAAGCTCATCTCTCCCATGCTTCCAATATAGGGTTTAATTATGTTATAAAGGGTATTTCAAAAGGTATGGTCAATTGTATATGAGAATAATTCCCAATTCAGTGTCCTGTATACTCTAAACAGAACAACTTAACAATAATTTTTTGCAGACATAACTTTTTGATATTGGTAAAGTTTTACGAGAAAGTGCTATTTCTTTATTATTGCAACAGTTGAATATAGGGGGAACCAAAACTCGAGTACATAATTTTCCCATTTTCTTAAATGAATCACCCTGTATTTTATTTTAAAAACTGAAAATACACTTTATGTTCTTTCATTTTTATAAAGCATAGCAAAAATCATAAATTTCTGAGATATTTACCATTTAATAACAAAAATGGAGTTTTTAAAAACTTCAAATTATAACAAGCAAAATTTCAAGGCCCAAGCTTTTCTCTAATATTAACCGTTTTAAAACATCGAAGAAGTCGTCGCTCGAAAACTGTCTCACAGACTCGCTACAACCATCTCAAGTCTTGGCAGACTAACTCAGGAGGGATTATGTAACACCCATATAGTGGGAGCAGCTCGAACTGCAAGTGGCGTGCGCTGCGAATTTCGTTCGGTCATTTTTGGGTATGTGATATTTCTCTGTAATGTTTTTAGTTTTTTCCATAAAGTTTTAAATTAAAATTCTACGAACTCTTCATGAACTTGTGATTTTAATAAATTCTTCAAACATTATGTTAATTCTGAGTCAGTATAATTTTGTTCTTTTTGAAATCACTTCGTCTCCAAAAGGTTTATGGAGTATCGTCATTTTGAATAATGACACGACAATAGAAATGCCACCTCAGTGCGTTGGACAAGAAGTAAGAATTACAAAATTATAGTTAAAATACGTTATATTAAAAAACCTTCAACTTACCACCAACAATTCCCTAGGTAAATCTTGACCTTGATTTATGCCTCTATTCATATTAATAAATTGTTCTATTGTAGGTTTTTCTTTGACACTTGGATTGTGCAAACTAGTATTTAGCATAATTATAGCAAACGATAAAACATAACAGGTGTCGGAATTTTCAAAAATATTATTGTCTCCCTGGCAATCACAATAACGTTTAGCGAAACATTCCATCATTCTATCAATTTTTTGGGCTTCACCTGGTAAGCGAAAACTCCATAAAAATTGCCTGAAAAAATTACACTATAAAACAAAGGTAATCAGAGTAGAATTGTAACTTAAATATATAGGAAATAATTCTGTGTAAAACAATAATTTTTTGGTGTTTATTATTTAAATCGTTACCTTAAAGCTTGTACCAAAATCAAATCCGTAAAATCATGTAATTCAACAAAGGCTTGAAGGACTTGTTCGTTGAAATCATTTTTTTCACCTAAATAATCTCCTATAGCAGTCTTGTTAAGACCTTCACCTTTATGAAGAAATTGAGCTACACTTTCTGGGGTATCCTGTAATAGTCCTTTCTCGATTAAATATTCTATTCCTTTTTTAGGATCCATATTGAACTTTTTTCTACCGATTGACATCATTTTGGTCTTGTTGCTGTTTTTGCCATCCTCCCCAGAGTCCAGAGACTCCATCTCTGATACAACTTCGCAGAGATCATCTTTCAGTTGCTAAAAAGAAACACAAATTAATTTAACAATTAAATTCAGTAAAGCAGTTTTTAGATTTGAAAATAATAAACATTTATTTAAAATTTTAAATTTTGAGATATAATTATTAAGAACAAAAACGACTGATTTTTTTACCGCAACAGTAAATCAAAAAGTATAATGTTAAAAAATTAGAATTTGTAAGTCAAGTATAGATGAATGTGTCGAACGCCGCCTGCGATATGTAGCGTTTTCCGCGATAAAATTAAAACAAATGCTATTAAATTTGTATGAATATACGAGCCGGGAGTACGCTATCCTTCATGTTTAAGGATTCCCCACATCGCATCGGTGCGACCGCGACCTATGCGATACCGCGCTGGACCGAAAAACATAAGAATTATCGAAATTGTTAAAAAATACCTTCTATTATATGATCAAAATAAGACAAAAATTTCATATAAACATGGGTCCGCAAATCCACCCTACGGGAGGTAGACGCGTTTGAAGATGACTTTAAATAAATGGGTTTTTGCCAATAACTTTTAACTACTTTGAAGGAGAGGGATAAGTTTTGGGTGATAAGTTACTACTAAGAAACATGAGGGTATTAGTTGACCAGGTTATAACCCATGGCGTGCAAACGCGTCTACCTCCAAAGGGTGGAGTTGCGGACCTTTATTTATACTTATGCAAATTTTGTCTTATTTTGAGTCGATAAATCTACCCTCAAAGTAAAGTATTACTATTTCCGAACACCCTGTACATTTAGAGACAAATAGGATCAGAATTAGGAAAAACCTTTATGAAAACATTTTAATTTATGATAAATGGACATTGACAAATCAAAGTATGTACATAGTAGGTATTTTATGATAAATCCCATATGTTAAAATATTTTAACACTTTTAACACTACCCACTCATTACACATATCTGTTACGAAAGAATCGTGTATGAAATTATTTTGCCGCCCCGTTTTCGAATATGTCATGTGAAAAGTTCACGATCTCTATGCATACAAACTTAAAACCATGTTTGTATTTGTATTAATTTGAGGAAAATCCCATATGTACACGGGGTGTGCAGTACCACAGCCTCCTACATGTAGGAGACTGTGATAGTACATTCGTCCATTCCCAATCTTATTCAAATTTAAAAAAATACTCCTGAACAATATACAATTTTAATTATGAATGTTATGATAATGAGATTAACCATTTGTTAAGCCAATTAATAATAAAGACGTATACATTAATAGAATGATAATGTGATAATATACTTTAAGATTATATTTATATGCCCCTTTTGTAATAATAATATACCGGGTGTTTCAAAGTGGACCAATAAGAAAGTCGAAGTAATTTTGCCAATAATTTTCCCGAATTAAATAAAAAAAAATATTTTCGTTAGTTTTACTTTATTTTAAAAGGTTATACGATAAAGACATAATTTCATAGACAAGATAATTGATAATTATTTAAAATAGACAAAAAATAATTAATTAAAATATTATATTAACGAAAAACTATATACTTAATATATTGAAATCATTAAGGAATATTCATAAAATATATATTTTTTGTTACTAAATAACCTCCTTGACAAAGATAAACTTGCCCAATTAACCACAATTGACGAGTTGACCTATTTCTGCATGTTAAGGATTACATTTTCTTTTTTTTTAAATGGTAAAGATTTTTGAATTTCAACAAGTAGGTTTATATAAAATACAAAACTTTCACTTAAAATAAAACAAAAATATGTCAGCTCGTCTATAGTAATTAATTGTACGTGGTTTTATCAAAGAGGTGATGTTAGAAACCAGAAAAAATATGTTATTTTCTTTATTTTACATTATTTAATAATATCAATAAACCTAATATGTTTTTTTAAGACTTGATTTGAAGTAGTTTAATATCTTCTTTTGAAGCAAAGGAAAAGTACAAAAACTAATAATTACACACAAAAAAGTAAATATTCAAAGAGAGAATGCAGATTTTCTCAAGTTTTTAAATAAACAATAGTATCAAACGGAGAAAATATCATTAAATTAAGAAAATGATGTTTCTTCAATTTAGTTCTTGATTTTCTTGGAATATTAGTTCATTGGGAATAATATATTATCAGTTTGAGTATTTAACAGAGCTTAATTGAAATAGATCTGGAATTAAAATGAATACGAGGCTCACTATTTTAGATCCACTTGTTTCTTGAAGGAAAGAAACTATCATTAAATTGAAAAAACGATGTTTCTTCAATTTAGTTCTTGATTTTCTTGGAATATTAGTTCATTGGGAATAATATATTCTCAGTTTGAGTATTTAACAGAGCGTAATTGAAATAGATCTGGGGAATTAAAATGAATACGTGGCTCACTATTTTACATCCACTTGTTTCTTGATGAAAAGAAACTAGCTTCAGTCTAAAAAGATATTTTAATTTCTCTAATAATATGATTCCTTTNACTAGTAAGGGGGATGAAGCGTGCCGGGAACGAAAATCCATTGGCGTGTCTGCGTAAAAGGCAACAAGATATAGAAGATATTGAAAAAACATAATAAAACATAACATCTAATATTTTTTACGGTTTGCTATAACCGGCACTTTGATCAATTTTAACTATTACAGCATTTTAAAACGTCAAAGTGCCGGTTATAGCAAACCGTAAAAAATATTAGATGTTATGTTTTATTATCTTTTTTCAATATTTTCTATATCTTGTTGCCTTTTACGCAGACACGCCAATGGATTTTCGTTCCCGGCACGCTTCATCCCCCTTACTAGTCCAAAAGCTAGCGATGAATCACTCTCTATAATTTCGACCGTGGAGTATAAGTAGATGAAAGATCTAATGAAACTAGAATATATCATTTGCCAATGATAAATAATTAGTTTTATAAAGTAAGTGAACATTGTATTATAATAATTGTATGTCAATAGTAAGCGTTCCTTGCATTGCTAAAACCATTAAAGAAAAGAAAGTTATAAGGTAATGTTAAAAACCAATTTTATTTCAGTAATAAATATTCTTATTTTAGCCATACCTACAAACAAATAAAAACATAATGTATATGCCTTCATATTTTAATGGATAAATAATGCAATGTTTGATTAGAAATTAATACAGGATGTGACAAAGAAGTTGCGACACACTTTCAGGATTAATTCCTCTCGACAAAATTACATTTTTTTTCTAAAATGTGTTTCCTACGGGCTCTACAAAGGAGTTGCGGTAGTCGCAAAACTCGGATGAGGTCGATCTATTCAACTGTGGCTTCGAATCTGTAGTAATGGCCCATTTACACGAGGCCAGTTGTGAAGACATTCCATTAAGCCAATCCAATGACAAAGTTGAGGACAATCCAATAAAAATTCAATTGAAGTTTACACGTAGGCCAGTCCGTCATCCGCCAGGCTAGTATCTTTGTATAATCTATGTGGTCTAGTATATACGGTTGTGTAGAATGGATAGGCTAGGGCTAGGCTAGGCTTGGCTAGGAACGTACGTTCTCACAAATGCCATTACACAAGCCAATCCACTTCTTGAGTGGTGGGGGACGCTATTGGCTCCTAAAATTAGAAACCGTTCTAATTAGTGGAGTGGCTTGGGACAATGGCTGGAGACATTCCATTTACAGGACTGTCTCTATTTACACGATGCCAATGTTGGATTGGCTTAGTGGAATGTCTTCACAACTGGCCTTGTGTAAATGGGTCATAAATCTGCACCAAAGCACCATGGATGTTTGTATGTGTCAGAGAGGTTCTGCTACATTTTTCATTAGACAAAAAAAAACAAATAGTAGACTTCAAATTTGGCACAGCATAGTTCCCTCATCGTATA